ACTCATTATTAGTTATACATGCTTTCATAGGTACAGGTATATGTAGCAGGCCTGTAATCATCAATTGCACTATGGCTTTATAGACACATTTATCCTGTCAGCATTTTAGGACATTTTAGACCTACTTTTGTGAGAGCCATTTTGCATGTTGAATCTGTGATAGATAGAGCATATGGCGTAACAATCTTCTACCTCTCAGCAAACCATGTTTGTAATTAATCATTAGTTAATATCTAGTTCATTAAAATTAGCCATTGTCTGGTTATATCTTGTCTGGCTTGTCTGCTTAGAGACAAAAGGCCTTTACATGTACAAATGTAATGCCCTTCTGGCTTTCAGCACACAGCGTACGACATGACTGGCACAATACTCGCTGCATTACAAATCAGCATACACATGGATTTACCTTTCGACAACGTAAATGTTGTGATCTTACTGACCTATTTATGAATGACCTTCGCTATTAGAATTGCCAGTGTATTTTATAGTTTCCTATCAGCAATGCAATTTCATTTCACTTTTAAAACCTCCATTGGCCACTTAAAGTTCGTGGTGCTTGCCCTAATAAATTATTGTATATGGGTACATGTACAAAACCACTATTATTGTCTCTTCCCTTATATGTTTTGTTTGATAAAGACTTATTAAACCATGAGAAATGTGAAACATTCTATATCTTAATCGCGGTAGAGGTTTACGGTACACCATGTGTAAAGTCCTAGAAGGACTAAGGAAGGGGATAGAAAATAGAAGTGAAATAGAAAGGCGAGAAAGTGGAGGTTGGAAGGAAGAGTATCTTTCGGAAGTGAGTATAGTCCTGAAAAGGACTGTAAACCAGAAAGTTGTAGATAGGATGAGAGGTTTGAGTAGAAGACTGGATTGAGTTGGAGAGTTGAGTAGAGTTGCAGAGCAGGAGCAGGAGAGTAGACTCGACGTTTCGGACAGGTTGACTGTCCGTCTTCAGGAGTATATCTTGCAATAAAAATATTTTTAGTTTTGGTTTTTTAGTTTCAAGATTTCTGTCAAACACAATAAAGGAGACCAATCACCCAAAATGGTTCACTTATCCTCAACATGAAAATATCAATATGACTGATATCATAATGATGATAACAATAGCAACAACAACATGATGACAATAACTCTTGTAGGTACTGGGCTTTAACTGACCTTATTTTTTCATTTGGAGGAGTTTAGTAAGCTAGGCAGGGCTCAAATTAATTTTTTGTCCACGGGGGCTCTTCCCCCCCCCCCCCTCCCCCCCAAAAAAGAGCCCCCGTGAGCCTTCTCACTGGGGCTCTTTTAGTGTTGATGGGGGCTCTTTTTTATACAAATATCCATTGAATTGGTACCTATGATACTCCTCAATTATTTGCTATTTCATCATTATCATTTCAATCAGCATTTTCCCTCTTACAAATTTACAAGTTACATAGCTGTTACTGGCCTGTGTATATAATATATATGCATACAACACCGATCTTTATGATGTCTTTAACGTGACATATCTTCTTCTCCCCTTGCAAACGAGAAAGAAAACAAGGTCATTAAAAGAGATTAAGCGACAAATAATGATTGTGATTCAAATTTATGCGAATATTTGTTTGAATAAGCACTGCTATTCACCAGAATCTTCTTTGTAAAAGCAACTTTTACAAATCTCAGCCATGCTTACTGAGTTGAGACGTTCCATTCAATGTAAAATACTCACTAATCTGAAAGTGATCTTACAACACAGTGGCAGATTTGCATGGCTGAGATTTGTAAAAGTCGTTTTTACAAAGAAGATTCTGGTGAAAAGCATTGCTTATTCAAAAAAAATCCTTGCATCAATTTGAATCACAATGATTATTTGTCGCATGATCCTTTTATTAAATAACCTTGTTTTCTTTTGTGTTTGCAGGGGAATAAGAAGCTATGTCATGTTAAGAAATCATAAAGATCAGTTGTATTATGCGTATATACAAATGATACCAGAACAAAATATGTTGATTATCAGAATGTCATTTTGGAATACCTCTATACAAATACCACATTTTCTTTTGCCCGTATCAGTATTAGTATGATCCAATATAAAGCTATTATTCTTTATTTAATTCAGTATAATGCTTTTCCTCAAAAACAGTTTTGCTATTTTTTTAGGGTTGAGACACTAAGGAATGGTTTCAAATGTACATTACACGAACCATGAACCATTGCAAAATGATGGTGGTTCTCTCTCTCTCTCTCTCTCTCTCTTTATTTTAATCATGCATTATCAACTACATATAAAGCAGCAACCAAAAACTAAGGGTTATCTGAGGATAGGTGAAAGTAAGAGTTAAAAAGAAAGTCATGCTACAACGGCGCTTCACTTCCCCCCCCCCTAAAAAAAATAAAATAGATTAGTAGTCCTCCTCTCCAGCATCCCCCCCCCCCCCCCCCCCCGCTTTAATATCACATTTTCACTTGGCAGCCCAAGGGGCCGGGGGGGGGGGGGGGGTTAAACCTCCTAACCCCCCCCCCCCCCCCCCCCCCCCCCCCGTAGATCTGCCCATGTTACCACATCATTCCACGACATCTTGGTCTTCCTCTTCTTCTCAATAGGGACTTTTAGATTTGCGTGGACGTGGACGTGTTACATCCTTTTAAGGCACTGGCAGTCACATGTGCTGTCCTTTTAAGCACTGGCCCTGCCTTAAAAGGAGATCACACGTTGCAATCAACGTTCTCATCGTGCAAATCTAAAAGTCCCTAATATTGATTTACTGGTCGAGGTTCATTATTTGCTGGTCATTTCAAATCAACAGATTTCAGCGGGTTAACGCTTTCACAACAAAAAACTTCTCCATGACCATGTTTCTGCCCTTGCGCGATCGCCTCCAGCTCCAGCAGACATGGCGCGGCAGCGTGCACACGTACCGCTACTAACGGCGCAGTAGGCCTATAACCACTGCTGACGGCGGCACTGCACTGCGAGCTGAATTGGTAATAATAGGACTACTCATGAAACGAGAAATCTTGCACGCTAATCTAAGTTCCATTTCATTGGTTTAAGGTTTGAAAATTGAAACTCAATATTGTGTTAAAGTTATAACAGAAAAGATGATCTTTATTTTATAATTCCACGGGGGCGATTTTTTAATTTTGCAATCGCCCCGTGAGCAACCTGACGGGGCGATTATGTTGCTCATGGAGGCGAATCGCCCACCGCCCCTGTGTATTTTGAGCACTGAAGCTAGGTGAGTCTAGGTTAGGATCGAGTCTCGTAAGGTGATAGAGGCAACTTGTACAAGTCTTTCAGATGCATTTCCATTAGCCTAAATTAGTTTCAAGATACTTGCAGTAGGCCAGTTCAGTCCGAGTTTTACTTGTAACCTGCTTCCTGGCCAAGAGATCCCTACTTGCTCAAGGTATCAGCTCTAGCTTCAGAGTTAACATGGTAGAAGTGAATCTTCACTAAGGCCATTAAAAAAATATACATGTTTAGCGTTTCTTGTTTTTTTTAAAAAAAATTTAAAAATTTTTCTTTTTGAATGAAAAACACTGCTAAAATGGATCTATTTCTGATTTAAAAAAAATTAAAAAAATGTCGACGACCATCTTGAAAAATAGCCCGACTGTCGGGGAAAATGTAGCGAGCGGCCATTTTTAAGAAGAAGAAGAGAAAAAAAAGGGCCTCCTCCTTGCTATTCTTAAAAAAAGTAGGACGCTAAACATGTTTTTTTTTATAATTTGGCCTTACTGGTGAGTTACCTTGCTAATTGGCTTAAAAGCAGGCAATACTCTGGCAATTAGTCCTAGTTTGGTTGCGATAGTTCATAGCTTGAGCAAATACATGAATATCCCAAACACAAGGATGTAATGGCGATCTATGTGCATATATCCTGCGAACAACATGGTCAGAATTCTTGCGTTTTACAATACATGCGCCACCAAAAATATTCTGCAGCTTCACACTAGAAGACCATGATGACAATGTCAACTAGATTTAATCCAGATCGAAAAGCGAAATTATGATGTGCCTGGACTGAGCGGCAGCTAGCGGGGTGGGCTCCCGTTGATGTCTCACCAGCGTGCGATAAATAACTAGCAAGCTGATTTGTCAAGAAAGTTGTCGACCCATCTCCCAAATTACTGCACTAGAGTGACGCAACTGAACCGAATGAGGGCGCCAGGATTGTGAAACGCGAGGATTAGTGGGCTTCTTTCCAACTTGGGCTAATGAAAACAGGTCTCAAGTAACTCTTCAATGACACCCCCAGTAATGAGGATTGAAATCCATAGGAGTAGCCAAACAGATAAGGTATTTATTTTCATTGATAGACATAATTTTTATTTTACTCTGTTATTAAATTTAAGATGAAAAAACCCATCAAATAAAAGTACAAAAGCAACAAAGGAAATGAGAACTCTTCAAATTGAAGTGGCTCGTTGAGATCTTCAGGAAGTTACTTCTGACCAGCAAGACTTAAAATAAAACTAAATCACTACAGAACACTCTGAAATATACATTAAATTGATATCTTTGTATATATTTTGAGGAGAAACATGCAGTATATTTGAATATATTGGCATGTAATGACAGTTCATACATGTCTGAAGTCTTTAACCCATTCCTTACAGGAACTTAGTGATGTCTGTACTAAGCCTATGGTAATGATTGAATCATTGAGCCCAGTAGTCAGCGGGTTAATTATGATCCCCACAATGTGTCAGTGCTCTTGATATTAAAGTTGACCCATTAATGCAATGATTTTAGGCAGGGAGCAAAGTTCTAAGATGCACAGGGAGGAAGTTAGAGTCTTGTATCCAATTAAATTGTTATCCTTAGAGGAAAAATGTTCAAGAATGTAGTTTCTTGTTTTATTCTTAAGTTGCAAATATGTTACTTCATAACCGAACAAAGAAAGTTCAACTTTCTGTTCAGAATTCTGTGTCCCTGGACAGTACGTACATGTACTTCCCCCCTGCCTGCTTATTTTCAGATTTTGCCAAATGTGAGTCATATGGAGCGTAAGCAATGGCTTTTATGTAATGACTAGGATCGCCCCCTGCTAGACGCTCTCTCTCCCTCTCTCTGGCTGCCTGACTGACTGACCCCCTTCCTTCAGTCCAGGGCGCTTGCCAAGGATTTGTCACTTTGCACAACCTTAAAACCGGACTTAACTCGGCATTAACTCCCAGCAAACTCAGTCAAAGAGGACCAAAACAAGAGGAGGGAAAAGCTTGGCAGTTGATATTTTAATCAGAGGGCTTTTTCTCCGTGCAATCAAAGAGGGGCATCCATTAAAGGGAGATTTAAGGGAGATTTTTGAGCAGTGTATGTTTTCTGCGATTGATTGCTGAGCAGGGACCGGATCAAAGTCAGTATGTACCGATACACTATAATGTATCAGTTGGAGCAAAAGCGGATAGAGCAAGAAAAACGCAGCAGAGATCGAGAGCGTCAACTTCGTCACGCCGCACCGATTAAAAAGCTCGATAACAAGGCAGCCGCTCTCAGACAAGGCCGCGTGCAAGTTTGGGTAAATGCCGTCTTTTTCTTTTTCCGGTGCTTGAGAAGTTAACGTGGATCCTGTATTTTTGTTTCGATCTCTTGCCTTTCATTTGTGGAAGCCCCAACCGAAGTTGCTTCTTGATCATGTCGCCTCGTGCTAGAGTTCTAAATTGTGAAGGCAGTTGTTGCGACTTTATTGAAGTGGCAGAGCCGGTGCTTGTTAGAATTGCCTCAACAGTAAGAGCTTAAATTAACACACTTTTCATCAGATGAGGCTGCCATGTACAGTCTTATAAAGTCTTAATGCATCATAATTGATAAGCAAAACAATGCATTGTATAATTCCTTTTGAGATGGCTTTGCCATATTTCACCACATGAATGCTACTCATTTGTGGGGAATTTGAATGATATGGTTTGAATGACATTCATGAATTATGAATACAATTCATGAATGACATTCATGAATTATGAATACAATTCATGAATGTAGTGCAGTGAAGTTTCAATTGTTGTATTATATTTGAGTTAATCATGCCAGGATTAGAGAATATTATCATTGTTTATTACATGTACCTACCGCAAAGAGTAAACTATATCAAGTTCCAATTTTATTTCATTCATTGAACTGTAAATGATTACTTCATCAAATTCAACCATATCTTATTATAGTCGGGTTAAGAATACCATGATGTTGAAAGGACAAACAATGTTTTTCATGACACATGCTTGGTTGAGCTGCAATATTGTTCTGTTTCTCCATTTGGCTTTTTATAATCTACTCATTTTCACAAAAGGACCATTTCCACGGCCAAAATACCATTTTGAAAAAAGCTTTGATTTTTTTGACTGCCATGCATTTACTCTACTGGAAAACCTGTCAAAAAACGTCGATGCTTGCTCATACCGATTGTTTGGTGAGTAGTGCGCACGTGCGACTTGTCGCTGCTTTGCATGAGATAGCATGGAAGCGAGGAGAGTCACGGAACACACAATCGTACCGAAGTTTCGAGAGCGGGCTTTTACACTGCAAACATAGATGAAAGTTCGACAGAGGTGGATTTTTTATTTTGGTTTTTCATCAAAAAACGTAATGTAGGAAAAATCAATGAGTTTTGCTTTGCTGTGTAAATGCAGCTAAAGGTAGCGCTTGTGACAGGTGTCAGACTTGGGTCCAATCAATTAGATGCTGACTGTAGAATCTTGGAGACCCTGAAATCAAGATACAAGACGATCGAGGCCTGGCAGACAAGTTTAATAATGCATGGCGTGGAAATTACATGTAGAAATTAACAAGGTTCATTGACTGAATGACTGGGCGTCGTTATTGATATTTCCTTCAATTCCATCTAGTTATAGATATAGGCTCGTAAACATGGTCTACTTATTTATGGAGCACCGAATGTCAAGTTCTGTACTTTGTATATACTACAGATTATACAAAATCAAAAGCAACATGAATCCAGTTGATTGTTAATGTGTAAATTTTGACAATTCTGGTCACGATTGATGATGATTTGCCTTTGGGGCCATTCCATGCAATATGTCCTGTATGACTACAGTATGATATTTTACATCCATGAATGAAAAATCTCAGGGTACAAAAAGGGCTAATGATATTGATACAAGAAAGCAATTGAATTGCATTCAATGGTCATGTCAAGAGATTGAATAGTTAGAGAGATATGGGACAAACTGCATATACATGAACTGTAGTGCCCTGTTTCATGAAAATGGATATCAATAACAAATGCTAACTTTCTATGACAAATTTGCTCTCAGCCAGTCAAATGCCAGGATTTCAGTACCGGTAGTGATAACAAGTTTTATTGAACATGGCCTAGAATTGCCCTTTTGGCCTTTTCTTTTTGCCAAATTCCATGGAGTCCATTTTCATGTCTTGATAAATCAAATTCCACCAGATGGTCGGGCAAAATAACCAATAACCATCGAAAAAGTATTTCTTCCAAATCTGGATCAATATCTTATAGGCTATGCAATATTGTAGGTATTGTATTTGTACGAAGGCTATATACAGCCCACAAAACCGGCAGCCCACTAGTTCAACAAGAACACCGAAGTAAGTCTCACAGGCCCTCTTTTTGAGGGTTCACTTGACTGGTACTTCTACAGCTTTAAAATGTTTACTACGTGTAGGCAGCACTTGATATCATCTCTATGAAAATTCTACAGCAGAGTCATTTCCTTCATGGGGTTTTATATATAACATGAGTGTAATTTATAGCTTTTTCCGATGTTCCAGGGCATAAAATTAACTCTCTCAAAAACAATTTCAAATATTTGTGTACATCTGTAGGTTACACGTAGACATGTACGTACCTGACAAAAATGTATTTAACAAAAAATACAGTATCATCAACATTTTGGTTGCTTGTCATTCATCAAGGTTTATTGACAAGTAGAAGTTTGTACATGTACTGTATGCATGTGTACTTTAAGTGAAAATTCAATAAGACTTCTCAAAAGTTCAACTTTACTATTAAGTACTAAGTGATGTAATTTCCATGGTCATTTCCCCCATTATGGCCTATGCTGAAAGACTGAGTTGAGAATACTTTGGGACAAGAAATCGGCTGTGAAGGATGTAAGACTTGGATTGACCGAAATCGATTGCATATATAAGGAAAATTTGGGTATTGCATGACATTACATTGTGAAGAAACTGACTAAAAGCAGTCTGGAAATGTTGATTATGTACAGTAGTACATAAAAAAAACAATGTTTTTGTTGTTGTTGTAATGAGTTTTTTTTATTTTTTACTGTTTTGTAGTGATCAAAATGACAAGAAATTGATGTACATGTAGTCTTGTTGGAAAACATGTGCACTGCACACAGAAGTGGATATATGGGAATAGGCACACACGTTTAGTCTGGTTATTTCAGATTAATTTTTGAACTCTTGGGCATTTGAATAGCAATCTTTTCAGGGGCATTTCAATTGTGATATTATAGAAGGAGAAACATTACAAATTACTTTTCATCTTTACCAGTTGTTGTTGTTGTTTGTTTTTTATGGCGTTTTTCATCGTTGTTGGATGATTTTCGCCACAAAACTCGACCTCCTCTTTAAACCATGCTTTCCATTTTACTTTGGCCTTCTCACCTCCTCAGGATAAATTTAGAACATGAAACCCTGGAATTGAAGCAAAACTTGACTTTCCTCATATCCTGCTTCCTAAACAAATTTTGGGTGAGAAAAAAATCCAAACAGATGGAAGCTAGGGAGGGCTGAAAAGCAAAAATGTAGGGTCCAAGAAAATTGAAGTGTGAATAGGCTATTAAAGTGTGACCAGGTTTTTGGTTTTATTAGATCAGTACTAGGCTATTCGTTACTCTTAAAGATCAATGGGAAAGATTGTTTAGGTATTTTCGGACTTTGGTACCCCGCTCCTCCAGTGTGAAAAATAAAAACTTATTGAAAATTACATTGTAGCTTATTTCCTACTTAAATTTATGCCAGAACTACATGTATAGTTTGCAAACTTTATCAAAACAACTATTTCCATTAAGTAGAGTTTGACATACAGGTATTTCCTTTTCCTGTGAAGAACAATTCATGAAAGCAATGCAAAAGGTGGTTGCAACATACGTCTGTTTGGAGCCAGAAGGGCATTAACTCTTTAAAATATGTACTTTAACACATACTTTATGCCCTCATGGCATCAAATAGATGATGGTTATTGTCAGACAATTGCCAATATGTGTAGAATCAATCACAGATTAAAAACTTCATAACTTTCCGGTCCTTTATATAGCATTTTCCTTGATCAGTCACAGAATTGTTTCATTTTGGAACAACTGGAGAATACCCCCACCATGCAAGTAACCCTAATCCTAACCCTATCCCTAAAACTGACCTTATCCTAAACTCTGACCCTAATCCTGACTCTAATCCTAAGTCCTAACTCTGACTCTAAATCTATACCTAACCTGAACCTGAACCCTGAACCTAATACCTTGTTCTGATGCATGTCAGATTTCTGCATTTCAAGGGCAAGGCCTGCCCATTTGCAAGTTGAATTGAATAAGTAGTGAAAACTTGAACAAACAAAAAAACAACTTGCTAATTTTCATACAGCCTGTGTGATACAGATGACTGCTTCATGAAAGTTCATGAACTTTTCTCTATTTATTAAATTCAACTTACAGATAGGACGGACTTGCCTGTTTTAAGCCTTAATCTACATATTTGTTTTAGTTGGCCAGTTTGATACAGTACCTGGTGGCCCTTTAAACAACCTTTCCAATGTCTTGATGACGCACTCCATGTAATGTACGTGCTAGTCCAGGAAACCGTTGATTGAGAAGACTGTAATCATGTTAATGAAGTAGTAGGCGTTTGTCGTCTTGGTTGTTATAGATCCATCCTTATCAATTAACAAATTCTTATATCGTTGATGTATCATCCATTCGACACCCTTTGAACTACATATACTCATGTCCATAGCAGATCAAATTCCTCTTTTTATGAATGTTGTTTATCTTTTGAATGATGTGAATTAAATACACTTAATAGATGAGCAAAAATCACAGGAATCTGAGTTCATGTTCATGTAGCAGTACATCATGCTGTTCATGAGTAAGAGCAGTTTAATTGAAAGTACTAAGCAAAGTCTCTAAATTTGCAACACTAAGTGGAATATGCATTTTATAATTTTAAGAAAAAATGGTACCTATACAACCGGGCCAATGAGACTGAAAACACAAACAGACACATACAGTGTCAGGGAAAATAGAAAAAAATTGGGCTTGTGAGCCATCAGAAAGAGGCTGTTATTAATGTATTGTGGGCCGTCTGTTAGTGATCCCTCAAAATAGCCCTCAGAAGGATTGTGAGATGGACATTGATACATGTAGCTTCAAGGGCTATAGCCATTTTGAATATGATTCAAATCAAATTACCTGGAATGTACCACAAAAAAGTTAACTGTCAAATTCAATTGAGGGAAAATCTTTAGAAGTTCAAGATCTGACAGTGTGAACAGCTCAAGAAGGGAGTGAATTCACTCCTTCCAACTCATTAAAGGGGAAGTTTACCCTGACAGATATAGCTGGTATTACTAAAAGCATAAAAATGAAACAAATTAGTGAAAGTTTAAGCAATATGAAGTTGTCATCATTAAATCAAAAATTGGGAACACTGTGACGTACAGTGTATCTTGCAAGCTCCTCTAAGAAAATATCAGAAACTTTCATTTCCTTACTTATTATTGATGACGGAATAGATTTGTCTCATACAGGGGTTGTATACATTGTAGAAACATATTTGCAATAGTCATACTTAAAACAAATGTATGATTGGAAACTTTCTTGAGGGAAAATATATATTTAAACAAAATTTAGTACAAAACAAATGGGTTGGGAACTCGCAAGATTCGTCACAGATTATGGCAATTTGTGTTTGATTGAATTCAACTTCAAAAGTTCATAACTTTCTTCTTTTTATGATTGAAATTTGCTCAAAATTTCACTGATGTACCAGTTCCTCTCATTTTTCTGCTTCTATTAAAACCAACTTAGTAGCAGGGTTTGACTTCCCCCTTTGACATCACTTTGCGATGAAAGTATCTCACGAGATTTTAAAATAGAGTTGTTATCACTTAGCGTGGGATGTACTTTCTAAGCTGTGGGTGTGAAATGTCTGACATTTATGAGTGATATAGAGGTAATGTGAGTTGTTGCCATTTATCGAGACAATGAATTCAATTACATTGGTGAGGCCTTTTACAAGTAAAACTGACTTGAGTTTAAAGGCTATGCTTGGTAGATGTAAATTGAGCATTTTTATACTGTCTGTCACTTTTTATTAATTTATCAGTGGCGCAATGTATTTCTCTGTGTAAATAATACAGATGCGAGCCGATTATTTTGTCAAGAGGCTACATGTTTCTGTACATGATGAATAGACAATTATTAACTTTTTTTCTTGTTCCTGTACAAAACAATTGTTTTTCAAATTTGTTTGAGTTTTAATTATTTGTGGTTCCGGTAGTTTTTGATAATTATTTTTTAAGTCTTTTTTTTTTTTTTGGACAGACAAAGATATATGTAGATTTTAAGGAAAGGGAAACACTAACCTTTTATTATTATCTTATTTTCAGATTTGTTTCCCATACTTTTATGCAACTATGTTTTGGTCTAGTCTGAATCTTAGCAACATACAGTACATGTATTTTTATGTCTCATTTTACCGCCATGCCCGAGTAAAAGACAATTTTTCACAACTCTGTTCCTTTTATGTGTTTCTAGTTACATCCTTATATTTCATATTGATACGTTATATAATACAGACATGACTGTTCCTCCGAGATATTATCTACATGAATATGAATGTACTCCTTATGGTCATTTAAAGGAAAATGCTTAGATATTTCATACAAAATGATAAGATCAAGATCACATATTGTGGAACATTTAGTCTTAACGCCCACTTATGAGTAATGTAATAGTCACATGGCATATATCCCTATGAGTTCTTGTTGTTTGCTTGAGTTACACTTACAGTATGACTACACTGTAGTGTAAGTTTCAAGTTCCTTGTGACTTTAAGAAATCAGAGATGTGCATATCACATTAATGAAAGAAATATGATGCATTGATGGATATTTTGATCATATATCAATACTTATTATGTATCATATGAAAAGTATAATGTTTACTTGATGAATGTTCAGGTTATGTTTTAAGAATTCGCTACTTGACTTTATCTTATTGCGAGGGTCTTATTATTTGTTTGCTACATGTATATGATCCTGTTGAAGTTTATATTATGATAACCTGCTCCCCTCCCCCCCCCCCCCCCCCCCAAAAAACCAAAATCCCCCCAAAAATTTAACACAACCTTCTAAAACATTGTGTACTTTGAATGCAATTCGGAATTACTCAACATTGGGGCTGGTCCTATATCACCGATGATGATCACAGTTACAATAATTTTATTACAAATTAAAATTAAATGATAACATTTTATTAATGTTCCTGCTTCTCTTTCATGTTACAGGTGGTGGTTGGAGTCCAGTTTGTTTTAACAGTATGGTAAGTAAAAGCCCTAGTATTTATCTCTATCTTTCCATCCCCCCCCCCCCCCCACCTCTCTCTCTCTCTCTCTCTCTCTCTCTCTCTCTCTCCCTCCCTCTCTCTCTCTCTCTCTCTCTCTCTCCCCTCTCTCTCTCTCTCTCTCTCTCTCTCCCTCTCTCTCTCCTCTCTCTCTCTCTCTCTCTCCCTCTCTCGCTCTCTGTCTCTGTCTCTCTCTGTCTCTCTCTGTTTCTCTCTGTCTCTCTCTCTGTTTCTCTCTGTCTCTGTCTGTCTCTCTTCTCTCTCTCTGTCTCTCTCTCTCTCTTCTCTCTCTCTCTCTCTCTCTCTCTGTCTCTCTCTCTGTTTCTCTCTGTCTGTCTCTCTTCTCTCTGTTTCTCTCTGTCTCTCTCTGTTTCTCTCTGTCTCTCTCTGTTTCTCTCTGTCTCTCTCTGTCTCTGTCTGTCTCTCTCTGTTTCTCTCTGTCTCTGTCTGTCTCTCTCTCTGTTTCTCTCTGTCTCTGTCTGTCTCTCTCTGTTTCTCTCTGTCTCTGTCTGTCTCTCTCTCTGTTTCTCTCTGTCTCTGTCTGTCTCTCTCTGTTTCTCTCTGTCTCTCTCTTCTCTCTCTGTCTCTCTCTCTCTCTCTCTCTCTCTCTCTTTGTCTGTCTGTCTGTTTGTCTCTGTCTATTTGTCTCTCTCTTCTTGTCTCTCTCTTCCAATTGCTTTTCATGTATGGTGTATACATGTTTGAAATGACTCTTGAAGCTCCTGCATCCTTGAACTTTCAGAAGTCACTGCAAATGAAACATTAAATATTTCATGTCACTTTAGCATACATGCTTGTTGCACAGTAGATTTGGTCAGTGAAAATAGTAGTGGACATAAAGATCATTATCTTTCCCAACCTTGTTAGCTGTATACTACAAATGGAGCAGAAATTGCCCCAGTGAGGCCTATCATTGGTATTAAAATGAGACCAAAATGTCATGGTCTAAATGTACATGTAACGTCAACCTTTCATAGAAATGTGTTCCCCATATTTTGTTCTGATCGACATCCATTTAAGTTATAGATGGTCATTTGATGAAATTACCTGGATAGCTTGAATCTCTGAGAACAGGAGAAAATGACATGATGAATGGAAATGTCATCATTAAGTGAGATTGGGCATGAAGAAAAGAAGAGGAGGAAGGAGGAGGAAGGGGAGGGGGAGGAGGAGGAGAAGGAGGAGGAGAAGAGAGAGATAGTGGAGGGGGAGGGGAGGAGGAGGAGGAGGAGAAGAGAGAGGGGAGGGGGAGGGGAGGAGGAGGAGGAGAAGAGAGAGAGGGGAGGAGAGGGGAGGGAGAATGAGAGAGGGAGGGAGGGAGGGGAAGAGGAAGAAAAGAAGTAAAACAAAATTAAATTAAAAAAGGCCATGAGTGAGGAGAAAGGGAAACAAAGGAAAGGAGAAGACGAGCAAACGAAGCCTCCTTTCATGAATAAAAACCATGTCAGACACCCAAAGTATTTTTGGATAGAATGCAGGAATCTCTCCCGCGAAAAGTCACAAGAGTATTCTTGTTGAGACATTTGAACTTGCTTACGCTGTCCCAAGACTGATCCAAACTGTAATGGCCTGGGCTGAAATGCATGTATGCCGGTTGGAGGGTCTGCCTCTGTCTACAGTGGAAGCTTGTTCCTCCATCTTCAATGCATACATTGGCCTGTGGTTTACAGTTACAACGACTCACATTAAACATATGTGGGGAAATTGTTGAAATATTTGTCAATAGGGTATTAATACATTAAAATACTTAGAAAGGTATTATTTAGCGCTATATAAATGCGACTATCATTATTATTATTATCATTTCTTATTGTTTGCTGTTATTATCATTATACTACTGTTATTGTTGTGTTTTGTCGCCATCATTAATATTTCTAACCTTTGACTGCCGGATTTAATTATAAATGCCCAAATTTCATTTTCTTAATATTGTATCTTTGGATACCAAAGGAAAGCATACATACAGTGTACATGTACCTCTTCTTGCATTTCAAAACGGGTTCATGAATTGTTTGATATCACGGAGCATGATTAAAATCTGGTATCATGAAATCTTATCTATGATACTTTCTTGTGAATTTGATGGCACTCTAATAGATTTGAGTTGAGATGATCTCTGTGTAAAATATGATACACTGAATTCCTTGAGAATATTTAAGAATATGTCCCTAGGTATGTCTTTATCAGCTCAAGATTGTCAAACAACCCGCTATTTCTGATTTGGGAAATAAGCCTGAATTAGCTGGATAATTTGTGATCCGGATAGTTAAATAGTGAGTTATTTAGCAATCTCGAGCTGATGAAGACAGGCCTCCTGAGAGTTGTTCTGCTTTTCATTCTGTATGGACATAACATTTGGAAATAGTCTTTATTGTTAAATTTTCCCCTGAATTCACTTCCAGTATATTTAATGACATTCTCACATCCCTCAAATTTCTATACAATGAATACACCACTATTTACTTCTCTCAGCTGTGAATTGCAGTGCAGATCACAGCACCTGCAGTGGTTTGTTCAGTCGCCTGTATTTGCAAAAAACTGTCATGAATGATGCATTACATCATGATTTGAAAATGTCAATGCTTTTTATGTTGCCAATTTGATTGTCCTTTATATTCATTTTTTATTTTAATTTGTTTTTGTTGCCAATTTGCAGGGCTTCTATGGGAGGATGGATCGACTCTGGTTACGTGTATATGAACTCAATCATCTTGATCACAGGCCTTATGGCAATAATGATGCCCGAATCACCGGAGAGTGTGTTTATGGTAAGACAGTAGCGTCATACTCATAGCTTGTTGGGGGGGGGGGGGGGGGGAATGTGGTCCCCTCCTGCTCATTCCTTTCCCTTTTTCTCCCCCCCCCCCCCTCCATCCCAAATATTGGCCATTGGTTTTATGGCAATAATGATGTCTGAATCACCAGAGAGTGTGTTTATGGTATTAGACAGTAACTATAGCTTTGTTGGGGGGGGGGGGGGGGGGGGGGTGGGGGGGGGGGGGGGGGGGGGGGGGGGGGGGGGGGGGGGGTGTGGGTCCCCTCCTGCCCATTCCTTTCCCTTCTCCCCCCTCCCCCCCCCCTCCATCCCAAATATTGGCCATTGGTTTTACGGCAGTAATGATGCCTGAATCACCAGAGTGCGTTTATGGTCAATCAGTTTTTGAGCATCATGTAACGCCTGGCTGGAATGCTCCCCAGGGAGTGGAGATTGTGCACACATTGTGTGCGGGCAAGCACTGAATCCAATGACCGGGGTAATGATATATTTGTAAAGCACTTAGAGACATTTGTATTAAGCGCTATAAAAAAATTAAACATTATTAGTATAGCTTGTTGGGGGGATGTGGTCCCCTCCTGCTCATCCCTTTCCCTTCTCCCCCCCCCCCCCCCTGACCCAACCAATCCCGAATATTGGCCTTTGGTTTTATGGCACTAATGATGCCTGAATCACCAGGGAATGTGTTTTTTGGAAAGACATTTTAGATGAGCTTGACTTTTATAGGAAATAAGTCCCCTCCTTCCCATCCCCACCCACTCTCGACTCTCTTCTCCCTTGCAAATATTTACCATTAGTTTCATGGCAATAATGATGTCTGAACCCCTAGAGCATATGTTTACAGAAGCAGAGCATGAGTTTGGCTTTTATTGGAAATAACTTACTCTCCCTCCTATTCTGACATGTACCCCACCCCACCGCTATTAAAAAAATTGATTATATTTCTCATAGCAATAATGATGCCAAAATGACCAGAGAGTGTGTTTATGGTATATAGCAGATATGTAGCTTGCCTGGTATTAATGGGAATAAATATGACTAATCTGACATAGAATCATGTTTCTCTGTCTATATCTCTGTCTGAGAGTGATGAAGAAAACGACAGGATACTATATCAATACCAAGACTATAGTGATCCTGCCGAACATTCAAGAAAGTATACTGAAAGTATGTATACGGTAACCCGACACATGCTCCGCCGACATTTACTCCGCAAAATGCGACAATTGCTCCGCGACGCATGCTCCGCCGACATTTACTCCGCAAAACACGACAATTGCTCCGCGACATTTGTTCCGCGACATTTGCTCCGCCGACAATTGCTCCGCCGACACTTGCTCCACCGACACTTGCTCCGCCGACATTTGCTCCGCCGACAATTGCTCCGCCGACAATTGCTCCGCCGACAATTGATCCGCCGACAATTGCTCCGCCGACAATTGCTCCGCCGACAATTGATCCGCCGACAATTGCTCCGCCGACATTTGCTCCGCCGACATTTGCTCCGCCGACAATTGCTCCGCTCAAAAAGTGCCCCGTAAAATACAAAAGCTACTACGACAATAATTGTTGCTCCTCCCCAAAAGTACCTGTAAAAGACAATGCTCCACCGATAATAAAAATGCTCTCTGATCCAAAAGTGCGGCCTCTTAGAAGGTATGAATGCTGCTCTGACAATTAGTGCAATTAATGCTCAGTCGTTTTTTGCTTTTCCCCATAATGTTTGATTTAAAAAAAATCAAGTTGTAGCTCCTTATGCAAGTTCTCTGGCGAAAGATAAATACTCTGCTCAAAATCTGTTTCATGTATTACTCATTAGCTGATCCAAAGCTCAAAGCTATCTTTCTCTCTCTCTCTCTCTCTTGCTCCTCCTTTTCCTTTTCACACCCTTTTCTTGTCTTCTTAGCTCTTTTCTTTCCTCTCATGCTATTAGTCTTCTTTCATTTTCATCACTTCTTCTCTTCTCCCCCTCTCGAGTTCTATTTCTCTCGTGAAATTGTAACGTAATGTAGTACATGTAGTACATTCTTGTTTAGAATAGTATATTATCTAGTCCGTTTTCTATAGGTTTCTTTCCTTCAGTTAAGCGCTTTACTAAATATATATATATTAGTGTGTAAAACACCCTGTCTCATTCGAGTACTTTGTTTTCACTGACTTTAAGGGACTCACGGAACCACCGGAAGAAGAGCAATTGGCTTATCATGAAGAACTAACATCAAACTGCTACTAAATGATTTGTATAAATGGGAATAAGCAGAAAGGCTGCCATCTAATTTTCCCGTCTGAATGGGTTCTCTTCTTTACGTATAAGTGCCCGTCAAAGCTTATTTTGATCCCTCCCCTGATGTTCTCTAGAACTTCCATGATGACCTAGTACATTGTATAATGCTTTACTTGCAGATGGTTTACCTGGTAAAGCTATGGTCACAAATCAGAGCAGCGACAGACCGATCAGTAGCCTGCTCGGTCGCTGCTGGAATTAGGCATCGCCCAGCGATTAGGTCGGTGCCCGGGCGGCGACCGCCCAGGCACCGAGCGTATTTTGGGCGGCGAGTGAAAAGTGAGCAGGCGCCGCCCAAATTTTAACTCCGCGCTAAAACTTCAGCGGCGACCGAGCGGTGCCCTAAAAACGAGCGGTGCCTGGGCGGCCGCCGCCGGGTAGAATTGGTTAAAAACTCGCCGCTCGGCCGCCGAGCAGGCTACTTTTGGGTAATGTGACCATAGCATAAGATGTATGTGCTTGCTTGCATTGAGGTCAGGTCTTACATATTGATGAGCTGTTTGAAATTAACTAGGAGGTATGCGCGTATTGGTGAATGTGGCTTGCTGCTCTACTTTTTTTTTAAAAACTTCCCACGACATGTAATGAGTGTTTAGTGTACATTATATGAGACGTACAGTGATAGATGGAAAGTTATTTCAGTATTTTCAAAATAACTTTTAGGTAAATCCTTTTTCCTCCCACATTCATTCATTTAATTTCATCTGCATTATCTCATGAAATGCAATCAGAAAATGAAGAAAAAAAGAAACGAAAATAATCTGTGAAAAAAACTATTGTCGGCGAAGCATTTGTTGTAGTATTAGTAGCAATCGTATTTTATGGGACACTTTTTGGGCGGAGCAAACTTTTTGTTGATAATCAAACTTAATTCCTAATCTTTTTTTGAACAGTAACATTATTCATCATCCTGATTCTTCTTCCTTGCCATCATAAATGTTGTTTATTATTACTTTTATTATTCCTTTATTCTATTGCTCTATAATTATTTATCAATCTTTGCTTCACACATTCTTCTTCCTTGTTCATTGTTTCCTTCAGTTTTTTTGTTCAAAATTATTTGTTTATCATTATTCATCATTTTGAACCCAATTTTTTTTTCTTCTTCTTCCTGATTTAATCCAGATTTTCCCCTTATATTCTCTATTCTTCCCTATTTTCCCCTATTTTCCCCCAATATTCTTACTCAAAGGGGGGGGGGGATATTGTTAGATGCCATTCCATCACCCCCCCCCCCCCCCCCCGAATCCTCTTCTTTTTTTGTTTACTCAAGGGGGGTGTGGTTGAGGGAAAACTAACTCTTTTTTTGTAGTGCTCACTTTCACCTCTGCATATTGGTTATCAGAATTTTAAAACCATTTAATGAATATCACTACGAAAGTTACTTTTCCTGACAGACCAATGATAAACATTCCTAATTCTGACCTGGATTCCAATGAAATTAGCCATAACTTTGGGCCTTGAACTGTTGAGGTACTCTGTGCGCTCACTCTCAGTAGACATTTTGAGCAGGTGATGAAATGATGACTTCAAACTTTTACCGGAAGGTACTCAACATTACTAATGACTTACTCACTGAGCTATTAAGATGTCAAGAATAGGCCTATGCATATTGAAGAAAAACTAGTATGAAAACAAGCAGTTTTTCTTTTTTTACTACCAGTTACACTTCTGGAGAAGAAAACAGAAAAACTGTCAGTGTTTCTTATTCAGTTAGCACGGAAGCAAGGAGAATAAAATGACCCAAAACAGGATTAGTTACCAATTGTTTTGAGCCCAAGTATTTACTCTGGTGTTTAGTGTGCCTGCACACAAAACTGGTAATCTTAATTTCTACAGATCTTTGTGATAGGCTGCATAGCCCTTGGAAGATTAACAATAGAAGAAGAAAGAAGAATAAACCAAATATTTTCTCACAGGGCAAAATGCCCTGGCTTTGTGGGAAGAAATAAAATGGGCTTTATACATGTGTGCAAATCAAACTTTTCAAGTATTTGAAGTGCACATATAGGAAAGAATATCATCAACAACAAAAATCTTTCTTTTTTCTGCACAGATTCTAATTAAACTTAGTAGTCATAGCACGTATTTGAAATATGATATTGGCCGCAGTCAGCAGTTTTCTCGGAAGCAATTGGTAATAATTCATGAGAGGAGGCATGTGAGAAGAGTGCAGGAGGGGTGAATAATTTATTAAGTGACGTCTTGTGTACAAATCAAACTTTTGAAATATTTGAATTACCGATACATAAAAAAGACATATTTTTAGTTGCATTTTTTTTCTCCCCAGATTCTAAGTAAACTATTCAGAACACATATTTCAAATGTGATATTGGCCCTTAAAGTCAGCAGTTTTCTTGAAACAATCGGTAATGATTCATGAGAGGAGGCGTGTGAGAAGGGCGCAGGAGGGGTGAATGATTTATGGTGTGACTCCTTGACGTGCTTGCCACCTCCATTGTGAGAACACAAGAAGTTAGTCTGCTCATGCAGACCCGTTTGTTATCCATGGCTGGACATGTCCAATGGACCCCATCAACATGGACCCCATCAAACAAATTATCAAACTTTTTTTTTTTTCCATAATTTTTTCCCAACACAAGAACAGCTGATGAAAGTTTTCTGTATCATTTTTTTTCCTACTTTCATGTTGTTTTCCCACTGGTAAAAGTCCTGTTTTATGTTTTGAAGAAAAAAAAGTGTTTCAATGTGGCTACAGAGAACATTGGTATGTAGTACCAAAGTGTATTTCAAAGAATTGAACATGCAAGCTAGATTTCTATTTCCTCCTCATGGGTGAATACTAAATGTATAGTACCTAATCTTTAATATATGTATTCCGGCTTGGTTCACAATTAATTTTTTTCGCAACAATCATTCCACATTTTGCAGTTTGGCTCAAAAACTTTTGATTCAAAGTCCTATAAAATATGCCATATGCAAGTATGCATGAGTCGAAAGGGAAGAGAATTCTGCACGTATTACATCCATTTTTGTTTCATAACTATAGTGCATTTGATGCCAGGAATTTTAAAGAAAAATAACTTTAAAATCTTTAAATTGGCAACGCATTGAGACATTCAAAACCCTTGTTTCTTTTTAACTCAAAATTTACAATTTTTTCAACTTTTTGATAACATTCATCATTTTCAGAGACATTACAGTTTATTTTAACAATGTAGTAATGAAAACAAAAAATATTATTCTTGCCTATTTGAAGTACAATATGTGATCAATTTAGCCCTTAGAGAAATCGTGTCCTGAAAGGGTTAATTTAAATGAAGTAGGTCTACATGGAAAGTAGGTCAATGTAGAAAGGGTAATGAGTCCCTCTTGCATATAAGATTCTGGACATGTCACCCGATAGGCTAGACTACATGGGAACAAGCCCTGCATTGCCAATCACATGAGTCGGTGTACGTGAATGGTGATCTAGAAAGAGTGTTTACATAAATTACATTAACACTAGGAAGAATAAAGTAGTTCAGGGATAAGGCTTTGAGATTCTTATTTATTTATTTATTTATTAATATATGTATTTATTCATTCATTTGTGCGATTTACTTATTTTCTGATTGTTTATTTATACATTTAGTCGTTTATCTTTTAACTTTTTTTTCCTGTTTGTTTATTATTTAGTTTTCATTACTTCTTTTAGTTCTTTATATTATGTATATAAGGAATTTGTAATTAAAAAAATTAAAAATTAATAAATAGAAAACAGAAAATGAGCATTGCCCAAAAGAATCATTAAATCAAACTTTACCAAACAGCTGCCATTGAAGTGTGGTTAAGGAGTATAACATGAAATTGCAATTAAAAAATAATAATTTTGAGAGAAATGTAATTATTCAAGTTATACATTTGGTATGGTTTTAAAAGATCTGAGTGTTTTAATCAAATCAGAGCTTCAATTTGTTTATAAAATCAAGTTCATTGAATGAAACCTGATTCGTTTATAAACTTGTATTATATTTTTCTATAGTTACTATAATAATATTGTAATAGATGGTGTTATACAACAGTTATGGCAAAACATGCTCTCTCTCTCTCTCTCTCTGTGATTCTAATGAGAAACTCTAGGTAGTTGGATGAAATTATCCATATTAAAGTGATCATTTTCACATTTAATAGTGATATGCATATATGCCAGGCATAATCCAAGGTTATCAATCAACAGATTAATTATGGAAAGCCATGCAGAAATAATGCACCTTGTCACTGCATACTTGTGCGCAATTTATAACCAACGTATCTTCCGGTTGCCTGTCTCCTTGGCATCGGCCTGTAATCACCGTAATGACAGTTGATGCGTCCCAATTATCATGCTGTGGAAGACTGAGAAATGAGTCTGAATCGTATTTAAAGAGAACACATATATATATATGACTACTGGCTATATGTTTGATTTATGAAAGAAACTCTATGGAAACAATGGAGGATTGTTGTTTATGTAAGGCACAATTAAGAAGTGATGCATACTTAAGTATGCGGTTCTGGAATTTAAAAAAATGAAGAGGGAAAAAAAATACTCAATCTTGCTTAAAAACCCATGGTCTGCTCACAAAAATTGGTTTATGGGACTACACACTTGTATATGTATAGCATATGAAAATTTGATCAAATCTTTTTTTAGCTGGTTTGAATATATATATGAGGGAATTTTGTGTACCGTAATTGTGTTAGGGTGCATTTCTGCTATGATGTTCTTCTAACCTTATCATGAAAAGAATGAATATGCTTACAATTTTCTACTTTTTTCATCAATATAGTCCTGAACTCAACATTCCCTTTAACACTTGTGCTGTGTAATTTCCCAGATGTTGTCTGCAAGTTCTAATGTGCATTGATTTTTATACAGTATATACACACTCCTAATGATGTGAGAACCGTTGATATTGTGTCAACTTGTAAAAAATCAACTGAAAGGTTAAGTTGAGTTCTCTGGTCATGCTATTGCATGGTGAAAGAACCTGTAGAAGCAATCGGAAAAGGCCAGTTATATGTAGCAGATATAATTCTACTGTGCTTTTTAGAATCATTATGATAAAAAATGGCAGAGTTTTGCTTAAAAAAGATCACAGAAATGTGTATATGGGACAACGCAAACATGCGGCATGAAAGTTGTGGTCCACTACCTTTAGCTCTCACTTGTAATAGTTTGAATATGAGGGCATTTGAAGAGCCATCCTTTTCTGGTGACAATTTGCCATGCTAACATAACAAGAATGGAAATAAAAATAAAATCAAAAATGATTTTATTTTTTTTAATAATTTTTTTTCCCACCTTTCCCAGAACTCGACTTTTTCTTTAATTTCAGCAAAAGGCAGTGAGTGAGCTTATCCATGTACATGTAGGCATTAGTGTTAATACAGCTGAAGTGTTGACTGGCTTCTTGCAAAAATTAATCATTTTCCCCTCAAAAAAACAAGAGTGAAGTATAACATTTTCAGACTGATATTAATAGAGGTTATTTTTGTCAGCTTGTACATGAAATGGACCTAGAAAATGAACACAAGGCAAAGGAGACAATAATTATCACATGAAACAAGCTTTTTTTTTGTCAACACTTTCTTTTCCATTTTAATAGGATTGATGTATGCAAGACAAACATTTTATATCAACTTTTTATTTTGAATGAGACCAAAAGATATGTGGCTGCTATATATATCTATAAAGCATTATGAATTTGTCATCCTGGAATAATCTTTGAAAGACATGCATTGTCAACTGCTGCAAAACTTCAATTTCCATCTGTATTAATGTTCAAATATTTTGTTGTCGTTGGCTGCCTATTGTTGCTCTATGGTGAAACAACAAATGACTAAAATAAATTTGTTATTCTAATGATTAAATACGTTGGAACATTCGTAACCCTATGGCAGGTGCATTAATATTTACAGGATGACCAGAGCCAATGCAAGAATTTTATAATTTGTAATTCTAATACTGAGTGCCCCTTTAACTTTGGGATTACTATCCAGTATATTGCCAAACACTCTAATGACAGATATATATCTATTAATGGGTTGATGACAAACCTTGATATATATATATATATATATATATATATATATGGCTGGTGTCTGTGAAATATATGAGTTGTACGACACATGCTCTGGTGACGATTGCCACACTGTCAAATACCAACAGTATTCACATTTCAGATTTCAGCCTTGGACCAAACACTACCCCGGTATACCGTATTTGCCGGCGTATAGGCCGCAGTATTTTTGGAAGAAAAAATATCAAAAAGTCGGGGTGCGGCCTATGCGGCGAAAGAGTAAAAAAAAGATTTTTTTTTTTTTTTTTTTTTTTTTTTTTTTTTTTTTAGTTTTGATTTATGGCGCTATGCCTGGCAATGTCTCCCAGCTCAGTAATCATTGTTGACTCACCACTCGGAAACTACAACAACACTAAAATTTGTCTGTCATCTTGGTTTGAAAGTAATCTTTCTAATAGATCTCAATATGTAGTTTGTAATAATAATTCCTCAAATTTTTTTTATATAACAAATGGTGTACCACAAGGTACTATCCTAGGACCTAGTACTCTTTTGTTTTTAATTCACATTAATGATCTTACACATTCTTCTAAAAACGACATTGTTACTATTATTTTGTGACAAGTTTACAAGCACAAATCAGCGCCTTTAAATGCACCTCGATGTTAAATGAAGGTCCTTCCCCGCGTGGGTTTTCGGCAACAAAACAACAACAACAACCAAAAAAAAAAAAAAACGATTTTTTTTTTTTTTTTTTTTTTTTTTTTTTTTTTTTTTTTTTTTTTTTTTTCTTCTTTTTAAATGTCAAAATCGGGGGTGCGGCCTATACGGCGGTGCGGCCTTTACGCCGGCAAATACGGTACCTAACCCTAACCCTTACCATGAACCTTATCTTAAACCAACCCTATATCTTGAACAAAATAGAGGTTGGAGCAATAGATCGGTTTACTAACATATTAAAATGTATGGATGTTTCTTTCCTGGGGACCTAGTGATGAATTATAATTTGTGGAATCCAGTCTGCATCCATTACTTGTTGCTGTGTCAGGCAGGCCTCTGACAAGCTTTCAGGGTGTCGAGAACACCCCTTGTTAAAAAAGTATCGATGCTAGAACAAATATGGGATAACCAATATGTGTGTGTGTGATAAGTAGATTAAAGTCATATTCATTATGTTTACTTATCATTTATGCACAAATTTCAGATCAAAGCTTAACCTCAATCCTCTGCCATAGCACTAACATCCTTTGGGAAGACATTAATCTACATTCGCCTCCCTCTACCCGGGTGAGGTAGATAAGTATCAAGTAGCAAGATGTATTCTCAATGCTTTAATGCCTTATCCCGATAACGACGCAAAAACCAGGGTAATAATTTATAAAGTACACTATAGTATGTTCCTTATTACCAGTATACTGAACAATTTGTTAAATTATATCATTATGATAATAGTTTTGAATTATAGTACCTATTTTTTTAGTATCTTTCATTATTTTTATCTCCTTGTCTTTTAGATGTTAATATTTGAGATCCTGAGCATCTTAATGGACATAATCTTCTTGGGCATCTACTTCCCTAGGATACAATGTAAGTATACAGCAATATTGGGTTAAAGTTTAAAGGTTAAAATTAGGTTAAAAGTTCAAAGGTTAAAATTCAGTTCTGGTCATGCTATTGCAATGTGAAAGAACTCTGTGGAAGCAATTGGTAAAGTTGATCATGTAGCACATAGGTATTGGGTGTGTACTGTGAGGTTTTGACTAAATAAGTTTTAAGCCCAGCTCCGTGGTATGAATAGTCTGGACCAAAGTTTGATGTATCAATATTGTCCCACAAGAATGTCTGCTTATATTATGCTGTGCTTTTCATGGAAAATGCTAAAATAGTTTGATTCCTTTCATTTGAAACCAGTGTGATCAAATGTAACCCTCAAAATATAATAACCGATTGTAGAGAAAGGAGCTTCATGCTACATATTCTCTGGTTGTATGACACTCACTCAGGCGACAATTGCTCCTTAGCATTTTCCTACATAACCAAAATCCTAACCTTAACCCTTGACCCAACAGTTTATATTTACATAACTCTAACCCCAACTTTACACCTCATCTTAAACCGCATTGCATTCCAGACCTTTTACCTTTAACAAAATAAAACTCAGAGCCAGAGCAAATGCTAGAGCACAATTTTGCTTGGGGTAATGAGACTTAATTGTGCTGTGTTTCTTTCTTCATTTAAAGCCCCACTGCACTACTTAGAGCTACTTGCGCCCTCTATACAGCCAACAATGCCTAAGCAGTACCTGTTGATCCCCATGATGCCCTTTCTCTTATGTTAATTGAGAGCTGATTTGATGAGATAAACACCTGCCAATGACCTTGCAGGGAGGTCTAATCCCTCCATGCCAAACTAGTGCAGATGGGCTTTAAAGCTCCTTTTCATTTGGGGCATCATTATCTCTTCTCCCATCTTGAGTAGATCCTGACCAATATAACAAGCTTTATCTCATTAGTCTAGCTCGTCTGATGCCATAGGCCATATTGGTTTTTAAATCAATAATGAAACATGACTTTGATGAAAAATTACTTCTTTCACACTGAGCATCTCAGTATTTGTCATATTTTCTTGTTTGCTCTGCATATATTACTTGCTCGTTTGAAAATATATTAATTTTGTGAAAAAGAATAAGAGTAGTATGAAAAATTATTTCAATGACAGTAATGGTAGTTGTTGGAATTTGTCATAATTATGTCATGCACATCACAAACATGACTACATAGTCTGCAAAGAGAGAAGTTGTTAATATTTTTGATAATACCGGGTAGATATATTTATCACTCTTTCTCAAGCCACCTGTAATTTTAAAAGCATTTCTTAACAGAAAGTTTCAGTTTTCCTTTATAATGTTTTTGAGTTTTAATCACAAATCTAGTGTAACAGTATTTATTCAATATAAACACCTGTCTTAATGGGCAGTGCAGAAATGAATTTGGACACAATTTTTTGTGGCTGTGTAAGTAATGTTTAAGTTAGCAAATTCTAGGGTTTAATAAACCTCTGGATTTTTTTCAAAATATAAATTTGTCTAATTGATTAACTGAGTGAATGTTGGACACAAATTTGTGGCAGCATAAATCATGTTTAAGTGAGCACTGCATGAAGTTTGAGGATAAACTGGCCCGGGCACAGAACACACTAGTGTATTAGAATTGAAAGTAATCTCATAATCTGATGAGATCAGAGAGTAATAGGGAAGGGGGAAAAGGAAGGAACAGGGATGGGATGGGGAGAGAAGGGCGATGAAAGGAGAGGGGGGGGGCATAAAGAAGGGATGAATAGAGTGAGGGTGAAATTTACCAAAAATACTGATTCATTCATACTGGAAAAGATTCAAAATCAATTTGACCACCATTTGAATGGGAGTACTGTCTTTTAATTCCAATATATTACTCTTCATACACACTAATCGGTTTGTTTGGAGCCACAGATGTATAAACGCTATACATTAACACAGAGTTAATGCCCTTGATGCTTCAAGCAAACAATTTGACATGTTGTAATTTTTTTTTTTTGTCTTTTCCCTCTTATTTCTTTGTTTGTATTATCAGGTGTTGAAGTGAACTGTTCAACAATGAAATTTGGAGCTGGGTATCCTTTTCTATCAAATGTTCTGCAATAATATGTATTTTCTGCTGAGCGGATCTAAGACACCAACCCCCCGGACGCCCACTCCTAGGATTACCACCCTCTAGGGCAACTACCCCCAGACAACTACCCCCCAGACAATAACCCATTGGACAATTACCCCCTAGGGCAACTACCCCCAGACAACTACCCCCAGACAACTACCCCCAGACAACTACCCCGGACTTCTACCCCCCAAACAACAACCCATTGGACAACTACCCACTAGGACAACTATCCCCAGAGAGCTACCCCCGGACAATTACCCCCTAGGACAACCACCCTCTAAGATGACCCCCCCCCCCCCCGAGGACAACTACCCCCGGACAACCACCCCCCCCCCCCCAGACAACATCCCATTGGACAACTACCCCCTATGACAACCACCCCCAGATAACCACCCTCTAGGGCAACTACCCCTACACTGTAGGACAACTACCCCCCAAGGACAACTACCCCTGGACGACTACCCCCCCCCCCCCCCCCCCAGACAAGAACCCATTGGACAACTACCCCCTACGACAACTATCCTAGGGGGTAGTTTTCTGGGGGGTAGTTTGTCCAGGGGGTGGGTGTCCAGATACTCTGCCGAGCGCGAGAAGGGCGTTGGCTATGTATTGAAGGATACAGGTTCACCCACTTCTATCTCTCCGCCGACGAACTATTTCTGTGAATTTAAATTCATGCAAAATGGGTGTATTCCATGTTCATTCTTAAGTTTTACGATATAGACTTCATTAAAGGGAGGCTTTACTACTTCAGCTAGAAGGGATTAGACCACCCAGTGAGCCATCGAGGTCACTGTGACAGGTGGCTATCTCATTAACTCAGCTCTCATTTAACATAAGAAAAAGAGGATCATGGGGGACCAACAGGCACCGATTTGGGAAGTTTTCTATATAGAGGGACCAAGTAGCTACAAGTAGGACAGTGTGCCTTTAAGAACTAAGTGTTGTAAAATGCTTTTTCTTTGTGATTCCTATTTAAGATGTTGATGAAAGGAGAATTCATTCTGAACTTTTCCACTACTTCAAATTCACTCGTTAGTAGCTAAAATAAAACTTCTTAAGTTCACCGACATCCCATTGAAACGTGTGTTAAACTTTATACATGCATTTCAATGTGATGTCAGTTAACTTGTACTTATGATGCTTTTGTGAGACACTGCCCTGATAAGGATAATAATAATAATATTGTATAGCTTTGTTTTCGTGTGATACAAAAATATTTTTTTCATAGCGAGAGCAATATATTCTTGTTTCACACTCAAAGCCATCCAATTATTATATAATTAAATCGTATTAAATCACATGGTGTAAATTTCAGGGATAGATATTGAGATACATTAAAGGTACTATGTCCCTTTCGTAGGCCAAAAAAATGAAAAGGTTAAATTCCAACGGCATTTGAACGACAATACTACTTTAGAACTTCCCTAAAAAAAGAGGGGCTTGAAAATGTCTTTAAGTGGGAAAATAACGACTATTAGTTGTCAAATCGACTTAGGAGCTATAGAGCCAGTAAGTAGTGGTCTGATTTTTCAGACCATTGTATGGAATGGTCGTACGTTTTATGCTGCGCTTAGATTCAATCAATTTAATTTTGGCCATTACAAGAAGTGGGTTATTGATGTAGACAAATGCTCATGTACCCTTCATTTTACGTATGTTGTTACTATTATTACCAAAGATGAAAAAAGCCAGTCAGTCACTCAATAGCAAGTAAACGGGTTTCCTTGCATAATTTGAATAGTAGGACACTGCTAAAGTTTAAATTTCACAGATAGGACATACATGACATATTCATAGTTCTTGCATAGTTCTACAGAATTTGATGTTGGCTGCAAAAGGGACATAATATCTTTAACACTTTCAACAAATCTTCCTTAACCATCCACTCTCTATTCCAACTTCAGCATGTGCATATTGAACCTGCTGCTGAAACCTGTTGCGATATACCTGCTCTTCAGGGAATACAACAGACGAGGCGGGGACTACGGGGACCTTAACTTCCCCAACCCAACCGTCAGGGGGTACGAGAACATCGACCAGTCCCTCCCCACCAACAACCAGGTCGAGGAGGCTCACCCGCCAACCTCCATCGACAAACCGTACACCCCCCTTCCGCAGTAGACCGCTGCAGCCAGCCACGGGGTTTATGATCGACGCAATACGATGCAGGCTAGGGTTGGGATTCGCTAGCACCGTAACTTCATGGAGCATAGTTTTCATCAGGAATTTGTAGCTATATGGGGCAGCTAGAAGATGTCTTGTCGGGTATGTCTCGGTGGTGCTGGGTGCATTCTCGTTTCTTGTCTGTTTAATACTTATCCAGTTTTTCTTCACAATTTTGAGATGCTACGTACTGTAGACATATTTCCCTGCCATACCAATAATAAAAAGCAAAGGAATCTGATTGGGAGTAGAAATACATATTAGCTCTGGATGGAGAATCTTTCCAATTTTTCAGTAGTTTTGCTTTTCTCACTCTTGATCATTTGGTACCCTTTGTTTGTGTTGCTTCAGTCGGGCCCTTCAACGAACTAAGTCAGATCTTAGTTGGAAGTTTCTCAAATTTACCTGCCATCTCTATTTTTTGTCTAATAATTGTATCTATTTGTGAGTGAGTATATTTTGAATAAAATTAGAAGCTAGGTTAAAGGTAATACAAAGTTTGGGGAAATTTTGAAAATTGGGTGAATAGTGATTCTTTACAATTTTGATATATTTGGATGCCCTTGTGGATGCATCATAAGCACTAGAAAATTTAGTCCCTAAAACGCTTCTGCTTTCGAGAAAAATTGAATATAAAAATTTACCGGTGCTCCCAGTAAATTTTGATAAATTTCAAATAGCGCCTACGGCCGTACAAAAGTAGCTGTGACCATGAAAATCTCAGAAAATGTAGTTGAGATATTTAATTTCCAAATGGGAATAGCTAATCGGTTGATTTTAGTCAAGAAACATTGTTTTATAGCTTAATTAATATCTTGGCCTTGAGAGGGAGCTATACAACATGAAGAGTTCATTATTTCCAATTTCCTTACTTTAAGCTCGATTTCAACCGCGACAACGATCACTGAATATTGTAGGATCGCATATCCATTATGTTCATTTGAACCAAATTCATGACCCCATACCAAAACTTTGTATTACCTTTAACAAATTTTCTCAGCTACTTAATACCTAGCCGCCTAACTGGTCACAAATAAGCTGCCAAAACTCTTGCATGGATACTGTTGTTATTAGCATACATCCACTGCTGAAAAAAGCCACATTTGTAGAAACAATTCCCATGGGCAGATAAAGATTATTTGTACCAAAATGGTAAAGCTCTCCAAGACGAATACTGGGTATGTGCTCATAAAAGTTGTGTAATCACTCATTTGTGCCCCGACAGTTTATTCTGTGATATACAGGTGGAAGTATTGTTCTTGCTGTAGACTGCAGAGGGCAGTATTATGCTAGCTATATTTTATCACATTCAGTCATTGACAGTGGCTCGAAGTGAAGGTCACAAATTTATATATGTAAAATGAGAAAATTTAATTAAAATGAAGGGTTGCCATTGTATGACTGCATTTCTTCTGTGAAAAAAAAAATCAATTAAGATAACAACATTTTTTTTTACTAGAGTCACAGGATTTCGTCTCTGAAATTACAAGTTGCTTCTACTTAATTTGAATATATTTGATATTCACTTACATTCCAAATTTTCAATGCAGAATAATATTTTATATACAAGAAAAGCGCAAATTTGTTTGCCATCTGTAATAAATATACAGATGCATAAATCCTGTTTACGTCTACTAGTCTTGACAATATTCATTTACACAAGCATGTAGGTAGCTGGAGGTTGAATCCAACATGTGCAGGGAAAAATATGCAATGCTGCCCTCTCTCATCACTTTTGGGCCAACCCTGCTATAAATGTCATATTCATGTGCGGAGTTAATCAATCGGCCTGGAAGCGAAGCATGGCAGTGCATCGTGGGATTATGAATAGGGCCCTCTATCAATCAAGAATTTATGAGTATTTATTGTAAAAGAGAAAGACCAGTGTGGTGTGTTCTCTCATATTTTACCAAATTTTCTTTTCAAATTTGGTTTTAGTCATCAACCTTAGACTCATTACTACTGATGCTGATTTTGTTCATGATGTTTTTGTTATTGCCTTTCTGCCAAGAAAGCAAGTGTATGCAAGGAGCTAAATTACCAGGGGGTGTTTCATAAAGCTGTGCGTAGGGTTACAAATGACTTGAACATGAAGAGCTAAACGGGATTCTCCAATCCTTTTAATTGCATCAGCTAAAGTTGAAATATGCAGATGTAGATTAACCTCATCATTATTAACAAAACATTTTAATGCAAAGTGTATTTTGGGCTACAATTTAATCAAGATTATGGGAAAAACAGTCACACTTTGTTAAAATGTCAGGAAAAATGTGGGCATTCCATTTGGCTCTTCATATTCAAATCATTAGTAAAGTCATGTGTAACTTTACGCACAGCTTTATGAATCACCCCCTGGTGACTTACAGCTTAAATATTATCAGAGAGACTTGGGACTTAAATGATTATTGATTTCCAAAGGGCACCAGTAGATTGACTTGGTATTGAACCTGGGACCCTCGGTTATGTGTCCACTGCTCTACCACTAAGCCATCAATCCCCCTCTTCTCCATTTTATTTAAAAGCAGTATGTAGTGTTCAAGGGCATGATTTAATCATGACCTTATGCAGGGTTTACAGAAAATATTTTGTGGAGTTAGGGGTAAAATGTATACCCCTCAGCAATCAAGTTCTATATATTTGGGCACTGATGTATCTTGCATCATATTGTAATTTATAAGGACTTTTGTAATACAAAACAAAGCTATTCTTTATTTCATTATTATGCCTCCGCCACCGAAGGTGGTGCCGGAGGCATCATGTTTTCGGGTTGTCCGTCCGTACGTCCGTACGTCCGTCCGTCCGTACGTCCGTCCGTCCGTCCCGTTTGACCGTTATCACAATATCTCAAGAACCATTTAAGATTTAAACTTAAGACTCGGGAATAGTATTTATCACCATAGGAAGACGATCTGATTAGATTTTGGAGTACGTAGGTCAAAGGCCACAGGTCACAGAGGTCAACTTATGAAATTCCTTGTATTGAGTTTGTTAGCGCGATATCTCAAGAACCATTTGAGATTTAAACTTCAAACTTAAGGATAGTATGTATCACCATAGGAAGACGATCTGATTAGATTTTGGAGCACGTATGTCAAAGGTCAAGGGTCACAGAGGTCAACTTATGAAATTCCATACATTGAGATTGTTATCATGATATCTCAAGAACCACTGGAGATTTAAACTTCAAACTTAGTGATAGTGTGTATCACTATAGGAAAACAATCTGATTACATTTTGGGTCACGAGGTCAAAGGTCAAAGGTCACAGGGCTCATTATGTATGCAAAAACAGCTTGTGATCGCGTTATCTGAACAACCGATTGATGGATTCCTGCCAAACTTTGGTCATGTATGTATCTTGCAGAGCTGATGAACTGATTAGATTTTGGGGTCACGAGGTCAAAGGTCACAGGGCTCATTATGTATGCAAAAACAGCTTGTGATCGCGTTATCTGAAGAACCGATTGATGGATTCCTGCCAAACTTTGGTCATGTATGTATCTTGCAAAGCCAATGAACTGATTAGATTTTGGGGTCACGAGGTCAAAGGTCACAGCGCACATTGTGTATGCAAAAACAGCTCGTGATCGCCTTATCTCAAGAACTGATTGATGGATTCCTGCCAAACTTAGGTCATGTATGTTACTTGCAGAGCTGATGAACTGATTAGATTTTGGGGTCATGAGGTAAAGGTCAAGGTCATGCGGCTCATTATGTATGCAAAAATAGCTTGTGATTGTATTATCATTAGAACAGATTGATGGATTCCTGCCAAACTTAGATCATTTATGTATCTTGCAGAGCCAATGAATGGTTCATAAGATCAAAGGTCATGGGCTCATTATGTATGCAAAAATAGCTTGTGGACGCATTCTCATTAGAATTGACAGATGGATTACTATTTAACTCAGGAAATCTTGCAGAGCCAATGAACTGAGTAGATTTTAGGGTCATGAGGTCAAAGATCAAAGGGTCATATATGTATATGAGAAATTGCTTGTAATCACGATATTCTGAGAACATGTTATTGGATTACAATTGAACTTGAATTTGAAAAATTTCTTCGTTTCGGTTTGTAAAATTGCTCTATGACGGAGGCATCATTTTCGACTGCGCGCAGTCGAATTCCATCTAGTTTTCTTCTCTGAACTTCTGCTGATTTTTTGCAATATTCATTAACATGAGCTTTCTGTTTTAACATTCTTTTTTTATTTTCTGTTCATTTTGTTTTTTTATAGATGGTATATACATGTATGTGTGTTACAAATATGCTTATTGTTTTGTTTTTATATTTTGCATGCTTTTTAAGATAGTTTTTGAACATATATGAAAGTATCGTTAAAGCATTTAACATTTGTGTATCCTTCTTTTTTTAATTCTTTTCTTCAGACTAATTAGTTCTAGCTTGAGGTATTTAGCGATTATATTTAAGGTTTTATCATCTTCTTTTGCCTTCCTCCTCTTCCTCTCTCTCTCTCTCTTGCTCTTGTGTTTCCATTTCGCCACCTGATTGGGCGTCTGTACCCCTCCCCCCCCCCCTATAACCATGCCACTGGTTATAGGCAGATGACTAGTCATTATGTCAGACCCATTTGATCCGGTAGGAGATTTTTACATTGCTGTTAATCTCCATGTAGTTCCATTCTACTCCAAAACAAACTACACATTTTCGAATACAGATATTTAGGAACGGTTGCATAACAGTTAATCTTTTGAGAAGGCGTTAGTTTTGATACGAGACGAACAAGAGCTTTTTTGGTCTGTTCTAGTGATCATTTTTTAAGAACCTTACTCCACAACTCGTCACATTTCAATCCAAGGAAGAGGAAATAATAAATATAACGGTCTGGAGTGATCGAAAGGTATTACAATGGCTGTCTGGGTAATCAAAAATATAACTGACAAATGTTGAATGTTGTAAGAAGCTACAGATTAAAATTATGTTGGTTTTGATTTAGAAATATACAATGGATTAAGAGGTTAGCCCTAGCAACGTCGCCTGAACGCTTCATTTTATTCTGTCATCCTTGTCTTTTGTTTTGGATGTCGTTCCATTTGAAGGCCACAGTTATAATGTATAAAGATGATGAAAGTGCAATATTTGATATGGTGCCAGTATAGCATGGATGACCATCTTTGCAGATATCTAATTGTTATTTAGATAACTGATTTACTATTTGCTTTCATACATTTTATTCAATATTCTTTACTTATGTTTTATTGAATCAAAAGAGAATCATGTTTATAAATAATTGGTGAGTCCTTAAATATCAAGAGTAACATAGTGAGCTCTGTATGTCTTTTCATTATATTTAGCTGAAAAGATTGAAGCTTTTTTGTGGCATTTTTAAACTTGTCTCCAAATCTTATTCCTTAGAAAAAATTATGTGGTGTAACCCTGAAATTTGACATACTTTTTACTATTAGTGGTCAGTATTTATTCGTTTTGTTTCA